AGAGAGAGAGAGAGAGAGAGAGAGAGAGAATGGAAAGTAAAGATTTTGAGATTTCTTTAGAAAGATTCTTCAATAAAAAATATATATACACACACCTTAAAGTTGTTTTTCCTACACTGTTCCACTCTTTCCTGTAGCGAAGGGGCATCAGATTTGACCTCCATGTTCAGAAGAGCATTACAGGCGCTGCAGTAGCCACTTAGTCGTGACCGGTCAAGTCTCAAGAAGTGTGGATTGACCACCTGTTAAAAACATAATGCACCAACATTTGATTTTTTCACAAAATGAACTTTCTATCCTACAGAAGTATTGACTTACATATCTGGATGTATGGAAAGGGGAGTGATAACTACCAAATAAAGGGATCCCACATACGATACAGGGACGGATCCAGAGATATTTTCTGACAGTCTTCCAAATTATCTTTGTTTATCCATCCTACATTTTTGATCGTCTTCTGACAGAAAAAATGGATACCCGACAATGTAAACTTGAAAATCTGACCGTCTTCTGGAAGACCCAGAAGACAACCTTAATCCGCTTCTGCGATACATTTACAACAACTTACATTTTGTGACAGGAAATGTGAATCAGTGATAATGACCAATGAAAAACGAGATGACACAAGATATGACTTTACCTTTTGTAACAGTGAAGATGATTTGGTGAACATGGCATGTGCTTGTTGATAGTTCTCATGGAAGAAATGATAGCAACCCAAGTCATAACAAATCTGCAAAAGAGTTTAAAAAGACCACAGCAAATAAGTCTAATTGAAAAAATATTTTGTATGTACCAATGTCTTGTGTAAATCTGACTAAGAAACAAATATAACTGACAGTTTAAATATCATTAAAATATTATAAATAATAATTATAAAGTATAGTACAAAAACGGGTTCTTAGGGTTCATAACTGTAATGCATTGCTGAGTTTCAGGTATGACAACTGTAACAATTTCATTATTCCTTTCCATTTTTCTATAATTCAGTGAAATAAGTTTCTTTTTTTTTTCATTTTATCTTGTGTAAATATGGTAAAATGTACTAAGACTAATAGATTCCACCAGCCTTCCAGGACTCATATCAATGAGTTGGTTATGTGATCAAGGTCCTTTCAATTATGGATAAAACACAATTAGTCTCATTTAAGAGACTAAAATACATTTTACCATTATTATAATGATTATTATCATTTTTATTTCCACCACCATCAAATTACCTGGCAGATCAGTTCCTCGTTTGGTATCAGTTGTCCCTTGTCCCACTGGTGTGTGATAGTCTCAGTATTTTCATGGAGACCAGCTATACTGTCAATACTGGGCATCATCAGGGACTTGGTCAGATTACTACACTTCTCCAAGATCAGAGCTGATCCTGTCAGCTGGGACTTCACCTACAGAGGTGACATCTATTTGTCAATTTGAGCTGTAAAGTGCTGCCCTCTATTGTTTGGGTGGCATACCTGATTATATCATTTTGAATGGCAAAATAACTTATCTTTTAACGAAGTTAAAATGACTGGCATTTTTTTTCCATTTTCCTAATCAAAATATATCACCTGACACTTTCTTTAAATATAGTACCTTAAAATTTACACCTTTGTTTTTAGGATGTCATTAATGCATTATTACTTACACTTTCTAGCATGCTTTTATTAGCCCCGTTCAGTCCTAGAGTGGGATCCACTACACCTGGCCTAGATAATAACATAATTTTAAAAAATTCAATAATGAATTTATAACCAAAGTTATCTATAATAGACAGTTTTCTGTTAGATACACAATTTACCTGTCAAGTTACAATCTATCTTATATATTTATCAGAAACTTCAAATTATATCTTAAATTGTCTTCTCTTTAATTGGTGACATGCCTTCCAATTAATAACAATTATTAACAATCAGGAAAAAAAATCAAACATGTCCTATATGAGATGTTTTCCCATACTCACACTGGAACATTTAGAGTCTTGGTGGGTCTGCTGGGAAAGCTGTCCTTAATTGCTGTCTTAACACACCTGAAAATAAATAAATAGATTCTAACGAATGAAATAAACAAAAACATTTGTCAAACTGAACAGCAGACTGTTGCAACATGTGCTACAAATAAATTTGAAAAATCCTAAATAATGTTCAAATTCATACTGGTTTGATTTGAACATTTTTTTCACCTGTGACTTAACTGACGCTTTTGCTATATCTAACAAGGAAAATGCTAAAAACATTAATTTATATAAAATAAAAGAATGACAATTGACTGCATATTTGAGAATAATAATTCAACAATACCCATACCATCTGTGATACAGCATAAGAGCAAAGACGGTCTCATCAGGTAACAAGGACAGGTCTCCATCTTTCAGAGTCTCAGGGTCCAGATCCTGGGGAAACGCTATCTTCACCAGCTCCGTCAGCAGGGCAGACATCATTGATAATGGGATACTGTAAATAAAATATCATAGCCATCATGACACTTAAAATATAGCAAATATTATTTTTAAAAATGCATAAATGTAATTCCATAAATTGAGAAACATGCATTAAATGGGTGAAGATGGCAATTCAGTACGACTGAGGATCAACTGCACAGTTGCGTTGTTATGTTATCACTTACATTAATAGCTGGATATTAAAATTGTTAATTTTCAAAAAAGTTTTTAAAAATTCAAAATGAATGAAGTTTCATGGCAGAGTTATGTTTCAATTAATTTTTCATAATAGCATTAATCGATAATACTGTTTTGCATTATATAAACAAGATTACTGTACTTTCTTTGCTCTCACAATTTGGTTGAGTATCGTTTCCAGCAATGAAAGTGGCAGTAAGTATGGCAGTGGGTGTGATAGTGGGTGTGGCAATGGGCGTGGCAATGAACTGAGGGACATGTATAAACTTTGCTGCCCATGATTAGCTGAGCACAAGAAGGGCCCATTAATCTTCAAAGCATCTATTTTTCTTTCTTTTTTCAACAATTTAAATATTAGAAAAGCAGCCATTCTTAGCTCTGAGTAATACTACCTTTTATCTAAAACATCTAAATCCCACTTCAAAAATGCTGCAATCTTCAGAGCTAGTAGTTTCAAGGCCTTGGTTTTCTTATTTTCTCCTGATTTTGGTTCTCCTGAAATGGCATTAGTTTCAGATCAATTCTAATTTTGATTTGGACTAATATCTATGAAGAATCCTATTTTTGCTTAGCATGATACCAAATCAACAAGTGAACCATGACTTACAAGTTAATTTGTACCTTAAAAGCCCCTCTAGATAACACAATACCTTGTTTTTCATCTCCTTTCCCCTCTGTCCCGTTACTCGTCTGATCTTTGCCCACGTTAGGAACAGCCTCCGCATGCTGGAGAAACTGCAGAATTAACTGGGTCCCTGATGGATCTAAAAACAAATAACATTGTCTGTAACATGTTGTGATAAAAGTTTCTTACATGAGATCATCCTGGCATGATATTTCCTTTAATCAAATGTTTTGAACTAAATAAAAATAAATACATGAGCGTCAAGTATTGACATTTTGCAATACAACTCACTTTTACTTAGTCAATAAAGCTCCTCTATTTTTCGTGGCATTAATAACATTAATCATAAATGGGCAAGGTACATCACACTTATTAAAGTTGTTTCTGTAATTGTTACCGAAATGATAATATTGCCAACTGTGCATGACAACACAGTTAACTAGCTGATACCCGTCACATCACTGAACCATCATAATAGATTAGTATATAATTATAATTTTAAAAAAATTAATAGAAAAAATGGGACTGAGTGGGAATCAAATCCACTTCGCTGCGTCTGGCAGTGTTACTGACAATATATGATTCCTGTCACACATGCCGAAGCTTTATGGATATTGCCGAAGGCTTGAAATTGCCTTCATAATATACTTTTAGCAGTTATAATTAAACTCAAACTATGCCCGGCCATTATCTTCCCACTACCCTAAGGTATTGCTAACACCTGTCAGTTGTCAACAGCTAGATCATTGTAGTTTGGGAGAAAAATGTGAAAAGGAGATTTCGGCAGATCTATTACTATACTATATCTGTAGTACAGTACTGGTATGTAGATTCAATTGATTCACCACTATCACACCAGTCATCACCTGGGTTGTCCCCCAGCAAATGTTTCTCCAAGAGGGCTTCATCCAGCAGAAATTCAAACCACGACTTCCCTGTCGATGCATGAGCTACTGCAGTGATATCTGGGGTTTCGCTTCTCTCCGTGTCTGCCATATTTCATCTCAACCGGCCTCGCGGGCACTTTCGAACTTTGTTGTGCAGGTGCTTTCCGGAAGTGACACCACTGCGCATGTCTACAAAAGCAAATCATTAAGTGCTATTTTCGCTCCATGTACGTCGATAAATAAAACAGCTTTATTTTAGCAGCATCAATGTAAAAGTAGGAGCACAACCAATACAAAACTATGCATGTTTTTCTGCCATGATGAGAAATATACATGTAAGTAAAATTAGGTCAAGCATGCGCATATTGACCAAGCATCATGGCGACTGAGGTAGACGACATACAGGAATTTCTGTCAAATGAAGTGAGTTTTTGTGATCAAAATAATCTGGATATTTGAGTGACCTGTATCATGCAGATTATTACAGTAATGACATTCTCATATATCAATTTGAACGCACTAAAACAATTGTGTGGTAAATAAGAATAGCATTTCCTGATTCGGCATTTTGGTCGCATTGAGTTTGTTGATGTTTTTATCACGCTCGGCTGTCACCTTGATTGGATAGTAAACGATTGTCGTAAAATCGCTAAATGATATTAAAACCGGGTGCATAAACTTGAAAACCANAAAACAATTGTGTGGTAAATAAGAATAGCATTTCCTGATTCGGCATTTTGGTCGCATTGAGCCGAGCGTGGTTTTTATGGTGATTTTTCGTCTTAAAACAGCCTCTGCTGCTGAACTAACATATTCTTTCAACTTGTTGACCCATAGTATATCGAAATTATTTAAATCTTGTTTAAAGAAAATATCCAAATGGTAATCACAGAATATATTATTTGATTGATAATAACTGAGATGAAAATGAAAGCATTTCTTGATTACTTTTATTTCCCAGAAATACCTCGAGTTTTGGCAAGATTTCACAGAGCTCTGACTTGATGTATATCTAACACAGTGGTTTTGGCTAAGAAGTAAAGAAGTAGGTACTGGTAATCATACTACTGTAGTTTTGCAAACGTATTAAGTTAACATATTTGTTGATGATAAATGTTAGAATCTCCTTTTGATTCCAGTACAAGACCTGTAGTGTTTGTGGAGGTTTCTATGGGACTAGTTTTGGTCAACCTGTTTGCAGCACCTGTCACTTGTTTCTGTTCCCTGATGACATCAACAACCCTGAGGATATCTCATATCTAGAGGTGAGTCACAGTTTTTATATTTCATGTTTTAAGCTGCTGAGATACACCAGCCATCTTAAACATCAGCACACAATGTAAATGCATGTTTTTTAAAATCAGGAAAGAAACCCTGGCTGCATCAAAGAGTAAAATATCGTATTTATTTTCAGTGGAGCTTTTGTATTCTATTAACCATTTTTTTATGATTCCTTGAATGATAATTTCTTTGCTGCCTTGAGAGAAATTGTCTTTGCTTTATAAGTAATGCTAAATATCTTAAAGATTATAATCAGTAATGTTTATTGATTTATATAGATGACTTGGTTATTAGATTTACATCACTGATTCATTGTGTTTCAGTAAAAAACAATGTGATATATGGATTTCATTCTTTACACACATAGTTTTCAATGATCTTTGAAGTGAGCATGGATATCCTTCATATTTGCAGAAAACAGATTCAGGAGACTCTGGGAATGAAGAACCAGACGATGCAACAGCCTTTTTCCAAACAGATGGCAGCTGTGCTGAGGCCCCTGCGGGGGCAGAGAGGCCTTCCAGAAGGGGCATCTCCACCCCAGCCCCCACAAAGCCTGATAAATTGGCAGAAAGGATCGCTAACCTGACCATGCCCAGAGAGTTTGACAAAGAGAAAATTCCTGAGGGCTTGGTTGATGCCTTACCAACAGAGGGTAAGAACATTTAACACCACCAATAATAATAATATGCCTTATATTAGTACCATGTTGCATCGCCTGAGAATATGGTCAGAGAGGAATTATAGCAGTTTGTAATATCAGCCAAGAATTTGACATCATTGGAGTATACTACTCTTCAGTACAGCAGTTATAATCAGAAAAAAAAATCTAGTGAAATAAATAAATTGTATTTCAGTGCTCCTAGTTGTATTTAACTACCTGGATGACATCTCTCGCTGGAGTGCAGGCAATGTGTGCAATAGATGGCAGCAGATTATGGAGGATGAGACCACAGACGAGGAGTGGCAGCACTTTATACGCCTGCGATGGCCGTTGTTTGACCCCAAATACAAAGTCAGGTGCTGGAGGACCATTTATACGAAACTGTACGTATGTTTATACTAGTATGTGTTATTTATTTATTTATTCATTTATTTTCTTTTCTTCAAACTTGGCAACTTGCGTCAAAAACTTTCACTTATATGGTCATGTCTGTGTCGTCAAAATGTGTTAAGGAAATTTTGACAAGAAATGACACTTGATGGCACTAGTTTAACAGGTTATATTTTTTCTGAAACGTAATCAAAATCTGAGAAGCATGAGACTAAGATTCAGTATGCTTGGCTGATTAGAGCCTCTTTCTTAGGTTATGAAATTAAAGTTTTGGGTCAGCAGTTCTTTTGTTGTTAACCTTTGATATTTATAATGTTAGGATAATTGTGGTCAACATTATATTTAAACAAATGATTTTTCTCTGAGTAGTCTATTAATAAGGTCAGTCTTGCAGACTTGTACTGTCAATTGTACAACTATTTTTGTACTGTTAATGAGGCCAGTCGTGCTGTACAGCAAGTGTTTGTTATTTCAGAGTAGAAAGTGCACCTTGCAGGCTATGCCTAAACAGAATGATGTTACAAGTAAGTATCCCCAGGTAACTGGTCCACAGATTTGGATTAATTAATGGTGATCACTTTCACTTTCAGTATCAATATAACACTAAGCAGGTAGAGGTAGATTTGTGAGGCTTCTGTCATATGTTATGAAACTGCTGGAAATGCTTCAATAATGTCTTCTTTCTTCTCATTTACCTTAATACTTTTATTTATTTATTTATTTATTTATTTGCAAGAATATCTCAGTGAATAAATTTTCACATTTGCTTGCAAATATATATTGAGTGTTAAAGATATCATATAACAGTTTATGTCAGCCATTCCCCCAGATTAGATTTTAACTTATGTTGTGAAACAATGCTACTTTGCAATGCATTATCATGGAAAACTGCAAATTACTGTCTCAATGTTAGATTTTCAGCCAGCAGTTCTGTAGCCTAATAATATGAAATCCCATCTGAATATATTTAACAATTTCCAGAGTACACCTCCAATAGAAGAAAACTCATGGCGACATCGGAGGTTACGGAGTGAGCTAAAAACTTTACAGACAGACCCCCCTGAAGGTATCCAGGCAACCCCGCTGGACAAATACTGCTGTCACTGGCAGGCGTCTATCACGGGTCCTGCAGGGAGTCCGTATGAAGGTGGAATATTTTACCTGTACCTGCAGATTCCACACAGGTGAGACACACACACCCTGGACATCAGATTAGAAATATTAGAATTAATAAAGAAATAGCTTAATCAGCCAAGCAGTTTGAATAATTGCCTCTTATTTTGTGTCATTTTATTTGTCCATAATAAGTGTTTGTAAACTAAAATAACTTTGGTTTAAACTGAGAATTACTTGTAGCAAACCATCAAGTTTTCTGCTGGTCTACAAGACTCATTTGTTTCTTGTCATTACTGCCTTAACTATTTTCCTCAGTCTGTGACAGAATGTCAGAAAGTGTACCAGGTCAGACTTACAAGCTGAGAAGTAATGTCAAGTGCAAATAAAAACATTCAATTTGCATCTTTCCAGCTATCCCATGAGGCCCCCCGTTGTGCGATTCATCACAAAAATCTTCCATCCTAACATTAGTCGCCATGGAGACATTGGACTCGATTCCATTCATCACAACTGGAGTTTAGCATTAACGATATCAAAAGTGTTAATCAGCATTCAGTCACTGTTAACAGACCCCTACTGTCATGTCTGCATGGAGCCAGTGATTGGGGAACTTTATTCGAGTAATAAAGTGGAATTTGAGCGAGTTGCGAGACTTTGGTCATGGAAATATGCCATGCATGACTTTCTGTTGCCATTTGATATCAATTTAAATGGCATCTGAGAAGAAAATATTTGTTAATTGTTTTTAAAATATTGTGAGAAAAGTTATTGCATGTGCTAGAAGTTGCCAGGGAATATTTGTAAATTATTGGTCTGAACAATGGGGATTGTGACATTGAGATTTTATACAGATGGAAACTGGCATAAAACAAATATTTGATTTTTGCTCAAAGGATAAAATCAATTATGAATAAAATATGGCTTTGTAAACTTATTATCTGTATGCTTGTGGCAGATGTGCTGCAGCGGAATTAAATATTTTCAAACTTCAAAAAGGAAAAATTACATCTTTTATGGAGGATTTGATATAAGTCAATCACAGAGAAAGTGAGAATTTTTGGACTAAAAATCATATCTACACCTTGAGTTACTTAGTTAAGTAGAAACAACAAATAATTGAAATTTTAAGATTTGGTTTTATTCAACGTCAATATCACAATAGCTTTAAAACCACCCACCTCCTCAAAAAATATATTACAATTGGCATTTTATGATGTAGATGATTTACTGTTGGCTTAACAGACGTAGAGAGCCTCAATAAATAAATGGAACCCCTGTAATGATAAGACAATGTTCGATGTGAAAAGGCCTTTCCTGCTTCATTAAAATGAAAAGATGGATGAAAATCAGTCAGACTTATCTAGCCTTCAGTTAAAACAGTTTGAAATGCACCCACATGTATAATATTAACTAACATGGTTAACTTGGCCATTTTAATGAAATTGTGTAAATTATAGCTCCATGGTGTGAATAATATACGACACCAGCATCTCGGAGACACCCCGAGTGCCAGAGTTCACTGGAAATAACAGAGGCATACTGGTAACAGAGGTGGAGTTCCCACTGACCTCTGATCCTCAGGGTTATCAGAGGTAGAAAAAGTCTTTGTCTTTATTTACTCTAACAATAATTTACTATCATAAATGAAAATTATCAAACACGCAAAGGCCTTCATCAGACTGATGTGAGTAAGCTAACGATGCGAAAATATTTCAGCTGTTTGATAATATTCATTTATGATTCAACTACCAAGCTAATGAACATTTTTGCTCAATAATTTACCATATTTATACAATTGCCATGTGCTATATACAAAATAATATAACATGGTTTACATGATGCAAACACCTATGAAAACTGTTCTGCCAAGTTTGTGGACAAACAGATGAATAAATATTGATTCAGATGACATCTCATATCTGAGAAACATGAGCTAATACCATTTAACACAGTAGGTGAGGGCACCCTTAGCTTCATATGTCACTGGTAACAACCTGCTAATTTAAACTTCCTCTCCCTCCCCAACTCGATGTGAAAAGTCACAAAATTTCAAAGGTATTTTCAGAATGCTTCTACCATTTACAGTGCATTCAGACGACTAACAGAAAACCACAGACAAGAACATATTAGTGGGAAGTTTTAGAGCACTCTATACTAAATTCAGTGTTTCAGACTAAATGGTATTAGCAGTAACTTTCTAGTAATCCGGAACTTCAGAGTGGATACACTATAATGGACCAGACTTGGCTCTAAGAACTATTTAAACTGATTGTGTATTTGACACCTTATCAATATAATTTAAAAGTCATCCTCCCAATATTTCAAAATTCATTTTGGTGTTAAAATGGCATACTTGTATTAAAAATCCATAAGATAGAGCTGGAGCATATTCTTTTGTTTATTGATAAGCAATATATTAAGTAATCTATTGTGGCTGAATTTTAACTTTCTAATCTTCTCTGTCTGTAAACAGATCATCTTATCAATATGTCATAACTGAAAAGTATAATTCACCATTCTAATGAAAGGCATTTAAAAGTTTTAATTGTTCTTCAAGGCCACCAAGTTGATCACAAAAATTGCCTTTCTTTGATAAAATACAGATACTTATTGGCAATGATATATCAGCAGGTCCTAGAGAACAAAATGTCCACTAATAAAGTATTGATAATAATTAAATCAGAAAGACAGAATGATATGGAATTTTTGTCAATCTGTTTATATACTGAAAGATGTGTGATCTTCTTTTAGAAATGAACCAGCTGGTTGTTCTCAAACACTGAAAATTTGATGCAGACTGAAGTGAAAATGGTTGAATTCATTTGTTTGTTCAATAAGCTTGTTCGATCTGGTTAACGCCATTGGCAAGAGAAAGTGGCTGTAAAGGGACATATATACTAAGGTTAATTTTTCATTGGGAACTCCAGAATAATGATAATTGGACAATACTGATTAAGCTATCACTGATTTTTTTTTTTCTAAAACAGTTACACCCATGCCATGCCATTCTAAAAAATTTCTACCTAAAAATCAACCTTATAAGAATTTTATACTACATAAAACAACTTCAATAAATTAATAGATATTTTGAATAATACTTTTCATTTTACAGCTTTAACGATTTGACTAATGAGATTCATCTAATTAAATTGCAGTATAGAAATTATACATAAAATTCTCCTGCCATCCTATTGTGTATGTGTGTCTGTCTGTCTGTCAAACAATACATGTTGATGCATACATTTCAATAAATACTATTTCACTAATTTAATTATTTTAATAAATATCATTTGAATACATTTATTAAAATAACACTGGCCTTAACAGAAAATACTGAGCCTTACTTGATGGTGTACGTCTCAAGTATGGGCGACCACAAGATGACCACGTCAATGTGTCTTCTTCCTCCCCCCCCTCCAACAAAATGCACAGTAATTTACATGCAGAATTACATTGCACCTTTATGCAGCATTAATTCTCACCGCCTATTTACACAGTTGACTGATAATGATAGCAGGGATAACATGACATCGTTCTTAGAGACCATTCTAAGAGACTATCACACTAATTTTGGAACGAACTATCTCCAAGTGGATTCTGGCTTAATTGCAATTAACTTAAGCGGCTTAGATGTCTGTCACGCCTACTGAAGCTGATAGGGGGTAATTAACTATCGTTTAGCAGCTTTAGCAGGCATACCAGACATCTAAACCCCATAAACTGAAAGCAATTTAGCGAGAAACCTCGTGGAGATGGAGCAATCTGTTAAATCGATCTATGGATAGGAACCCAGTCTTTAAATTATCTGGACCAAATGGATAAGACTGGGCCTTATTATGTGTCTTGTCCTGCTCCCCCCCCCCCCCCCCAATTATCCTGTATTTCCTGAAGAGATGTACAATACTAATTGATATGATTTAAATGGAGAGGTACATGATATAGCAGCATAAGTTCACAGTAACCTATTCACACTGATGTGTAATATATAGAGATGGCATGCGTCAGTCTGGCAATTAAATGCACTCGACATTAAAACATTCATTTAAAACAGGCAGGTGTAAACTAGATTCAACATGGAGCGTGGAAAAAATAAGAGAAGTGCATATATTTCCCAATTTGTCTATGACATTATGACGATCAAACTACTGTTGGAAAATAAGGCAACATGTAATATGACTCATTTTTCCATAACTTTTTTTAACTCCTGGATTATACGGAAGACTGAACATTCTTAAAATTCTTTCAATAATGAGTCTTTCTCTTCATTTTTGAAAAGATAAATAAACAAAACAATCTACTGTGCTTCCAGTTCAAAACATTAAAAACTCCATCAAAAATATGGTAATCTTCTGGTATAAACAAACAGCTTATTCCATGTAAGTAACAGTGACTTTGGCCAATGGCAAGACAACGCAAAAAGTGACAACTGTACATAATATTCACAGCACATCTTATAAAGTTATATGACTACTTTCAATTTCTACACACATTTACCACAACATTATCTGAACTGGTTCTATCCAGTCTTCTAACTGTGTTGCTATCATCCTGTGCATGCTGGGTATTTTCTGATCACTCAAAACGGATTTCACTCAAAATGGAAACCAGCGTTAAATGTGCACCCTGAGATTCAAAGATTACTTGCAGCTAACCTCCGTAATACAAGATGTTGATATGTTGAGGTGAGTTCCCTGTGATCTTTGAAATTCAGGGTGTGATAAAACAGGACAGGGCCCCACTCAAAAGCATCGCGTATTGCGAATAGCAATATCAAATGGAGGCTACAATCGAATGTATTATATGGGGTAAGTATGGGTGAGTTATGGAATCAAGACACTTGCGCTCGGTCACAATGCTTGAGTTACGGGGCCCAGATTTGCTGATAAATTGAGGTCAGTTTTGACTGACCTGTGAAACACAGGGTGGTCAACCACATTGAGCAATTATATTATAACACAAGGTGTGTTTCTGGCTGTCTACTTAATGCACACTTCATATCATAAATTAATAAGGCTGTAATATAACCAGCATTTTTGCAATTATACAGTGCAGTTTCACTGCAGTAAATGATTCAATGAAGATATAATAAATGACTTCTAGAGCATGTAAGTGGGACACCAAGCTCTGGGCAACAGCTGAAGTGCTTATCTACCTTTTAGCAATTGTAATTTTAATGTAGTGCTAAAATCTTTTAAATGAAATAAAATATAACAAAACTGACTTGTACTTTTGAGCTGATTCACAATAGTTCTCTTTAAAAGTTAGGTGTCAGATTTTAAGAGAAGGGTGCAATTTCAGTCCTTGCCACTGGTGCTATTTTGATAAATTTATGGTCTGACGAGTGAAGGTTACAGCTTCATAAATTTATATGTTTGAATAATACATCATGTACAAACAATGAAAAAATACATCCTCTACACAGCAACTTGGTTCAAGTGTGTCTTGGTTAGAATTCAGTATGCACAGCTTGATGTTTCTCACCCCAGGCACTAAGTTTGCTTTCCCATATAACACCAGTAAAACTACTAACCTGAACCCAAACCTTTTTTTGAGCAGAACTACAGATTACGGTCAAGCAACAACCATTACCACAAACATTATGCATTTTTCAATCATCTTAAAACAGTTTAGCCACTGGCAAAAAAAAAAAATAATAATAATAAATAGAAAATTTAATTAACTTTTAAACATATTTAATATAACTAAGCATTGAGCTACCCTAGGTTTTATTCAAATGAGATCACATTTAGGGATGAGACCAGTCCTCACCGAAAAAGTAGGAAAATTGGCTGGGGTCCAGGGTACACAATTCACAAGAATGACCCAAATGACACTGAAGAAGTCTGAATTCCGACAAAGGTCGGAAAAGTCTCATCAGTGGCATTAAGATTTTGTATTCACCTGCCCTCTCAAAACCCAACTGGCCTTTTTCCATTTATTTATCTACTTATTTATTTTTGTACCTAGTTGCTCTTATCTTGGAGATTACGGAGGCAACTGTTTACTTCTTGTTGCGTAGCCATTGGAAAGTTCTGGGGAGGATGATGATGGGATGGTGATTTTCACATAGCCGTCTGGATCGGCTGAATCATCCTCGATGAGAACCAAGTCCTCGCCCGTCTCCTGCTCGTCTACTGTCTTCTTAAGTTCATTTCTTGCTTTACGGACCACAAAGAACATGAGGAGGACAGTGAACACTAACTGAAATGAGATGAAATTCTGGTTAAAAATCTGAAAATTACCTTAAGTTTACAAAATTTTCTTTTTTGTAAAAAATGCATAAAACACGTCATTTTTCTTTTAATTTTGTTCTGTGTTAATGTATCTTCATTACTGATATAAGTGCACATACTAAGTCATTTTTGTATCATAATATTCATAAAACTTTTAGGGCATACCCCTTGTAGGGAATGTTCTAGAACCAATTATAGGTGGCAGTTTATTCAACTAAAAGCAAAACAGCATTTTTAAAGTTTTTCTTATTTTCAGAGTGAAGAGAGTCTACTGTAAATGTTGCAAATGACATGCTAGAATTTTTGCATTAAGTCAATGGTTTTGGATGAGAGGATATCAGAAGACTTAGTGCTTACTGTTGCAAAGTTGACAGCAGCAATTTAAGGCAATAAATGTCCTATCTAAATGTGCCTGGATGTAAATTTATCTTCTGGTTTGGTAACTATTCAAATAATTTGAACATTGAATTGATTCCAATATTTCTCTTTTTCCAAGATTAATCATTGTACCTATTCAATTTTTAAAAGAAACTTTTCCAAGTATCCAGTCAAGTTTTACAACACGTACAAACACTCAGTGTTTTGCATGAAAACAGCACAATCCAATTTGGTTCAAATATCATGTGCAATTACCGTAATTTGAGTTAAAATTAATGTTTCATTCCATGTCACCGTACTATGAAGTAGGACATACACACATCATAAATTTTTCAATCTATAACTTTCAGCAGGCACTGCAAATATCAAATGCACTGTATTTACTCAGAATAAAGACGTGATTTCTGTTGTGCTGATATCCAAATCAAATATTTATTTTCTACCTTGATTCAAGTGTAATATCCAAGAAAAGTCAGTAAAAATGTCAGCACCTATAAGATGTTGAAGAGTATCATGTGGTTATAATAACACTGTAGCTTGAGGGAAATGTTCCCATTTGACAGAGTATATTTCATTTCAGATATTTTCCAGAGGCATCGTTAGCTAAACGTGACACTGAAGATAGTCAAAGCTTATAACTCAAGTGAAACGGGGACACTTGATGATCATGACAAATCATAGCTGACAAAGTCAGGCTCAAAAATCCACAATTTCACTTCAAACATTATGAATTATGCGAACTAGTTCCAAAAAAAAGAACTTTCCTCGGAGAATGGCCTCAAACAGCTATTTGCTTGCTGTATTCCTTATTATTTATTTTTTCCTGGTTTCTGATTGCAAATAACCCCCATCTCAAGACCAATATTATACAAAATATTTAAGTGAGGTATTTACTAGTAGTTGTGCAATTAGTATTCTAATCTATTCTATACGGCACCAATGAAACAAGGTATTAAACTGATATATTATTTACTAATTTCTAAAATAATGATTTAAAATTTTAGAGCAAGATTGTTGGCTAGAAATTAAATTCAAAATGATACAAAAGTTTTGCATTTGAAATTGAGTTATTTATAATGAACTTTCATATTAAGTGATTAAAGTTTGACTACAAGGTCATGAAGGATCAGCAAACATTACAACTCTAAGGGTGCATTCCCAGAGATTTAGATCGATCCAGAGATTAAGATTTAGATTGACTTAACTCTCTGGGGGTTCACGCTAAATTGCAGTCAGCCGAGCGGGCACCATAGTTAATTACCCCCTTACAGCTTTTAGTAGGCGGGACAGACGCTCAAGCCGGCTAAGCTGACAGTAATCTAGTGAGACTCCCCACAGGGACAGATTGATCTAAATTCTATGGGAATGGGGTCTTACTGTCATCCAAGGTTCAACAGACTTGACAATGGTAACTTTTACTGAAAGCTTCCAAAGTAAGTAATAAACACTGGTCTTTTCAAATAAACAATAAATTGCACAAATTAATATGTCTTCAAACTGATGGACAACTGATAATGTTTTTAGTCTAATGTCATAGTTGTCATGGAATTTACATATAATGGTATATAAATAAATATCATTTGACAAAAAAAAAGCTTCACAATGCTGTAAAAAAAAGGTTACCAAAAAAATAATCCACTATGCCAATCCTCATTTCCTATTGATCGCCTTTTCAGTATACCTCAGGTAAACCCATTATCTTTTGCCACAAACACCCTCTCACCTGAGTAATAAAAACAATCCATCCTGTTGTCTGGTTAGAGTCATCTGAGAGTACATCCTCCATAGACCTGAGAGTGGAGCCAATGTAAGCATTGAGGATCTGTGTGGGAAGAAGACCCAGGGTGGATGCACACAGGTATTTGACAGCACTCATCTGGGTTATCTGACACACAAAGAAATGTCATCTACTGTATATATATTTATTCACAGAATTGGGATCCATTTGTAAACCCATTTTTGAGTTTAAAATCTTTAAGGGTTATTCTCAGAATGGAGACTGAGATCATGGTGAATGTTACTTGTGATGATAAAAATAATAAAATTAATGTAAAACTGATTTAGATAATGCAACTTTCTGAAGGGTTTTGGATGGGGTAGACAGCACCCTGGTGATAAAGGAACATTGCTTAAATTTACAGATTTTTTTTATAAACAGTTGTAGAAAGATATCTCACACATTACATGCTTATATAGTATAAGACCAACTTAAAAAGAACTTTCTTTAGAGAAATCAAACCCAGATTGTATACATACTGCAAACAGCCCGTTCTGTAATCCAAATGGAATTGGTGTCAGCCTTGCAAGGGCCACAACTTTAAACCCTTGCTTTCCTTCGATGACCTTCACCACCGCCATTAAGTTCTCGTTTTGTAGCCTAGTGCTAACACAGTCATAAAAGAAATGTTTTACAACAAAATGTGATATCGTGACTCCAATTAACACACATAATATAACAGTGAAGGTGCCAAATATACAGCCATAGAGGTATCCGCATGATATGTTTAACAGAACATAACCCCAAGTCATTGGGAAAGACACAACAGTGAAAAGGACTAGATAAATCAGGCAGCCTTGCCAGACGTCAAGTTCTCCTAGCCAAATTAAGAGAATCTTTATGTATTCCCTGCACAGTATTAGCATAAACAGTACAACAGCTATGACCACAACCGTTGATAAAGAAAATTGCAAACAGTTTGAGCGTTTTGAAGGCGTCTCAACTGTAGCTGTGGTTTCATTTGACACTATCCCAGCGTCTGTTGGTACAAACGCTTTCTCCTGGGCCTCGGCCGATGGCGATGGAAGTTCTAAGTTGACGAGGACCTCATCAAATTTTGAGGACTGCCCCAACACGGGTAACAAACCCCCGGCGGCCTGCGCTGGCAACTTTCGAAGATTATCCATGGAAACCACTCGATGAAACATCGCTGATCTATTCTACACCATCCTCGGAGTTGTTCGTGAGTAAAACGATGATCCGCATAATGATCGCGGTTGTTCTATGTGGCAACTAAGCGAGAAGATAATTCCTCGTTTGTTGCTCACGTTCAGCTTTGGCTGCTTGACCTAGATTTGTTGATAAGTGTCGCTTGCATCAAATACAATGCGCATTTTATAAAGCTGTAAGCGGCGTTAATCACATGCATTGAAAGTGGGACTCTACTTGTCAAGTCTATCTAAATGTAGTTTATGGACGTGGAAACCAACTCGTTTTGATGAACGAGAAAGATTTTGCGCCGCTTACGGCGGCATGTGTCCGGGCATTGAATGACAAACTCTACGAGAAAAGAAAAGGAGCTGCCCTTGAAATCGAAAGGTAAACTGAAGCCGGTTGGATTAAGACGGTCAACTTGCAGACTTCCTTCTTCTGCAAGAAACAAGACTCTGAAATAGACAAGAGTCAGGAACCAAGTTGCAACTTGTGCTAGGATTAAGCTAGGGTGTTTGAGAGTCTTTTTGAAAATATTTCTTTAAATAATGCGCATTGTATTTCCTAAATCAGTACTAATAATTATATATTTCTTCCCGGAAATCTGGTATATTGATGACATACCCAGTACTGTATA